CGCCCTGCCGCCAAACAATAAAGCAGTTTTACCGCCACGGGCGCTGCCGTCGCCGCCGCTGCTGTGGTCGCCGCCTGTCACGCGGTCGACCACCCACACCAACACGGCAAGCATCCATTATAGCACAATCACATGAAACCGTTTGGAACATTTAGTACTCATTTATTACCCCAAATGTTTATGGAATATACGCAGTTGTGCTAGCTTGACAGTTCTGCTGTCGCAACCAAATTTTAGAAACCTGCCGTGTTGGATTTTCCTATTAGTTTGATTTGTTTGTGCCAGCTTCGCTGTCAACACACGACCTCCCGCTACTTGCCCCGCCACCCACGCGTTTGCCTGCGCCGGCCCTCTCGACCTTCGCTCCAGCGCCACCTTCAGCCCCTTCCCCCCGCACGCCCACACGCCTACCGTCTGGTCCGGCGTACTTCCGACCCGCGAACCCTTTCCAACACATGCCTCCCCTCGCGAGATCGTCACACTTGCTCGCCGCTCCCTTTAGTAAGGCTCCCCCACGCCCTGCTCGCTGTTCCACTTCCTTTCTCCTCGCCACCGCTGCCATCACACGTACTTCTCATCACCCTCCCCATTCCCTCCTCCCTCGCTCCGACACTTCCACCTCGATCTCCTCCCTACCCACGCACCCCTTGCTTCCGTCTCAGCCGCCGCATCGCCTCGCCACCTCTTCCTCCCTCGTCTCTCGCCCTCCGTGTACCTCTCCCCCGAAAGCTGAGCGCGTGTGCTAATTGCTCCTACCTCCGGATTTCCGCTCGTAGATCGGCGCCCTCTTGCCGCCGCCTAATGAACTACCGCCAATATTTCTCGAGTATTTTAATCCCATTTAGGGTAATCCGCGTGTGCTTTATTCGGAGGGGCGGTCTGCGGCGGGGAGGGCGGAGCGTTATGTCAGGATTTCGTATCCAATTTCGGGGAGATTACTTCGCCGCCTCCGCTGCGCCTTCGCTGGTGGAGCGTGGAATGGGCTCAGGGCAAGAAAAAGAGCTTCCCACTACAGCGACGGAGTCCGGGTTCGAGTCCCGACGGCAGCGGATTTCAGAGGAGCTGAAACTCGAAGTCGAGTTGTCCACTGACCGGAGGAGAATCGTAGCGCGCGGCTGCTCAGATTGGGAGTTTTCCCATCTCCTCTTTTCCTTCTTCCTTATGTATTTTATCTCTTTGCTCACGCACACGTGCACTTACATACTCTCCGCTGTAGTCGGAGCTTTGAACGTGTTGAAGCCACCTGGCACGGAACTCCAGCCAGCCGACGCGTGGGTTCCAGCAGGGAGGGACTCCGCCAACACCTCACTACGGCATCCACTCTATTTATGGGACAGGCCGCTGGCGTCGACGCGAGCTCTCCCCTGATAGGCAAAGGGGTTGGGGATGCGCGCGAGCACGGAGGCCAAGAGGGCGGTGGAGGGTGTCCGGGCGGGTGTTGCACACGAGGCGATGGAATGGTGACACGTGACAGTCAGCATGAGGGCGAGAGCGAACACGGAATGGAGTGAGCGAGGGAGGCAGAGGGCAAGTGTAAGGATGAGGGGAAGGACACGGCCGAAGTTGAGAGGGAAGACGGCGAGTGCGAAGGCGTTGACGCGCGAGGGGTGGACGGGGGCGAGGAGGAAAACGGCGAGTCTGTGGTCGGCTGAGAGGGCGATGGCGATAGCGATGGCAGGAGAGCGAGCGAGATGGCCGTGGAATGCGTGAGGATGCGCCATCTATCAGCTGACAACTTAACCACACACCACAGGCGCTCCGCTGCCTCTTCCGCTCCTTATCTGCCGCTAACGGCGCTGAAGGCCACTCCGCAAAGACTCTCCTCCACCACGGACAGAGAGAACCTGCGGGCGGCGCTAATGAGGCAGGATGCGGAAGCCCCAAAGCGGAAATGAGGGAGAACTTACAAGCAAGATAGGCATCACGCAGTTTGTCATAGTCTGTACAGTTTCATGATGAACATTGCAGTGAAGAGAGCACATTTCCCTGGATTAAGAACGAATTGTTATCAAGCTCCAGTGAAGAGTCATTGCGCTCTTGCTTACAATTGACGCTGAGGAGGAGAGCTGTAAAGGTGGCTTGCAGAAGCTTGACGTGCGCGATTTATGGAATACTCTGCAGATTTTTTGATGACAGGAGACATGAAGACAGTCAACTGACGAGATAGTAGTAGATGTAAAGGCGCTTTGTATGAAGACAAGGTCTCAATCGCGTACAGACAGACGCGTTTATTCTGCAGGTAACGAGTTCTAGGAGATTATAAACTTATTTATCGGAAAATAGTTTTCATCTTCTGTCGTATATATTAATTTTCAGAAGAAAAAATGTTTAACGTTATTGAACACGCCGTGAGTGAAACGCGGTTTATCGTACTTGTTTTCCGTGCAAGAAACAGATATTTTTTTCTGAACGTGCGAAACGTCTTTAAAATATCTGTAACGATTCGCAATTGTCTTTTTTCATTACGAAGTTTTTGTTTATTATTTACAAACAATAGTGTTACAACACTGACTAGAATCCATTTACTTTTGTACAAGTAAGGTTTTTTAGTAATTTGATATTTCATGTATTCCCTTACTTGACGCTTTGCGTTTTGCTCACAGTGTTAAAAAATAGTGTACGCAACACGGGCGCGAGTTAATTCTCACACGTCTCTTTGTCGTCCTGTCTACGCTCGGAAGACAGACTCAACTCGTTCATGAACCACCTGTTTCACGCCCTTGCTGCGTAAACTACTATTCTCGTAGAATCTTAACTTATGTTCATGTATTACACAAGTGACCTAAGATGCTTAATTGTCGTAACTGTTTAAAAACGCTACGAGAATATTAACAAAGTTTAGAAGTGTAAACGTTTGCTTTCGAACGTGTTCGAGTCCAGCTTTCCACAAAGTGATTCCAAAACATTTCGAAATTGCTGATCTTTTCAGCATCATAATCAGTATCAATTACTCCCATCCAAATCGTAAATGGCATTAATGTATGCATGTTGAACGATATTGTTAATCTTTTTGTATCTAATAATGAGACTCCATAATTAACGATCTTTGTTTGTTGTTTATATGAAAATAACCTGCAGTCTTTCCTCATACACATTGTGGAACACAATGGAAAGCCATCAACGGGCTTACCTGTTCCGAAAAGGGTGTAAAGAATTGTAATGTTCCATTAGCTCGCTCCACCCGAGTGCAACAGCAGTAGTTTCAAGAAAATTGTCATATTGTCCCCAATTTACTTTCCTAACAGTCCGCGAAACGTATGGGATCATACTTAGAAATATGGTGCTCAGGTAGGATGCTCAAAGAGTTGAAGACATTATTAGATGTGTTTACACCGGCGATGTGTCAATTTTCGTATATAACGTTACATTTATCAATGTGCGAAGATATCTAAGTATGTTTATTGTATTTATTACTGTCCGCGTCATTATTAACATGAATTAGCGAAGTGTAGTCTGTTTTCTCTTTCGCTCGACCCCGTAGCCACCTGTAGGTGGCCTTGAGCAAGCGGGTGGGTTCTCAGCCCCACCGACCGTCGACTGTTCGGAACAGTTGCCTTGGGGGGGGGGGGAGGGGAGGGGAAGGAGAGGCGATGGCCAGTGGCACCTGCCCTCTGCGCATGAGCAAAGAAAGTGGACTGTGATTGGTGCAGATTTCGAATGCGTTTCCTCCTTCGCATTCCAACCGTTCCGTTAGTAAAGAACTCCTGTGTGCTTTCGTGGGTGATGCTTAGAAGAACTTGGTTCCATTTTGTGAGTTAATTACGTTTAGTTTTTAATTTCCTGTTAAAGCATGTGCATTTTTAATCTCTGTTGTTGTGATAGTTCATTGACTAAAGTAATAATGCAATAATCAAATCACTGAAAGAGAAAAAGTTGTAAGTAATACCTGATGTGCATTTTCTGCCATAGCAGCCATATTGGAAACTTCGTCGTTGCAAGAATGTAAATACTAGTGTTTCTAATATACATAGTATACTCAAATTAAAAAAAATGAATTACTAAATCAATTATAGTGAATGATTAAGTAAAAATATTATGGTCTGATAACTGCACAGTTTTGGAAAGGCACGCTTTGTTGCTTACGTGTGATTAGAATAATATTCTACATTTTATGAAGTGAAGTGGAAATATTTTGAACCACTTCCTCATCAATTAATTATTTAAATTAATCAATGAAAGAAAGAATGTAAACATTGTTTGTGGTACTACACACTATCAGTCGTGTTGAAAACCTTCGATATTCTCAGATACTACTCAGTATGAATCTTACCCATCCAAACCTTTAATGATACTAACGTATGCATGTCGAACGATCTTTTGAAACCACTTGTATCTGATAATCAAATTCTATCATTTAAAAAAGATCCGTTATTGTTTTACATGAAACATCTGAGGGTTGTAGGTATTCATTATAGCAGTGATGTATAGTCTTCCTATTTTTTAATAATAGGTGAAAGGGATGAAGTTTTGTAGTCCTGTCTACGATACTCCTAAAGTCAGCCACGTTAAAATATATTGCTGGTTTAACAGTACAAGGATCGGTATTCTTTAAATGAGGCTCTCCAATTTCAGAAATTTAATTGAAATTACTATTAATAAAATTGTGCTAAAGTGTAAAACTGTTTTCTTATGATGGTTATTTCTGTTATAAGAAATGTCTGGAACGTTTGCTATGAGTGGTGAATGTGATATACATGCAGTGCAGAAGTACTTGCACCGTGTCAATTCAAAATTTCAGATAGCTATTGCGAAATGATAATGTAAGTGCATTTAACACAATTGTAGGATATGCTCGGAATGAAAGCGAATTCCATATATAGTAAATGTGAAATAAACTTCTATCCCAATTGATATTCAAAGAAAATGTATTAAATAGATGTTACAAACTTCTTATCTCTTTTGAAACATAGCTTTAATACAAATTATTTAATGCTAGATTAAAGTATCATATATGACGAGACTCTTTCATGTTATAAAATGTTATATTGTTTATTTTTCAGGTAGGAGCAATTAACACTTCTGTGCAGCCTCGTTTTGGTGATTTACTGTTCGAACCTATAAATGTGAGTTAATCCTCTTAAGATAAATATTTTTTTTAAATCTATGTTTACTCCTAAATGTTAGTTTGAAGACTTATCTGATATATTATTGAAAATGTGTGGATCGGATTTATATGCTCTAGCTTTCAAGAGTGAAGTTTTGCGTCACATAATTATCTTAGACGCCAACAATTACTGAATTAATGTGGAACTACATATTATATACCTTTTAAAGCGATGAAATAATCACTGAAATTGGGGAATGTGAGGGAAAGCATGAAAGTGAAGAAACAAGAACTATACACCGAGAACGTTGTATCATCCCTTGATCTTTGTTTTGAAATTAGTCAAAAATATATAAGAATCACTGGCATTTTAAGAGGTGATATAAATTATGTTAACAGTTTCACATTTACAATGACAAATGACAAATGTGTACGTATGTATTTGGCATTTGGATCGCGAAAATCCGACATTTCCAGTTTGCAGTGTTACCAGTTCTGAGTCTTATAAAAATGCATTCGTTCGTAAATTTATTTTCTTCTCAAGTGATTACGTTTTCATGAAAATTTTCTGTGCGATAACCCTTCCAAGCGATATGTTGACTCTCTGCTAGTGAACTGGTGAATGCATAACGGAAAATACCGCTGAGGTCTATCTACAATGACGCAAAGACTTCTTTCGGCCAATTCCATCAATATTCTCATTAAACATTTTTCATGAAAAAATTCGTACTCACTCACCCGTTTGATAAAGTTTTTCAGTCTTCCAGTTTCAAACCTCCTTTAAACACTTTTACCTCGTGTTCTATTTCTCGGTCGTCCGTTAAATTAAGCAGAGCATTTTCTTCCGTCGGGTACATCTTACTCATTCTCAACTTGGGTTGCGCTGCTCGTCTCGGCTGATTGGAGATTCTCGGAGGATATTCCATCTTCTCACCACCCCTCGACCTCAGTCTCATTACGGCTAGCCCCGTGCAACGCGACCCGCTGCCACCGCGAGGCGCCGTCGTCGCGTCATTCGATACTTCGCCACCAGGGCGCTGCGGTAGGGTTTCTTAATTCCACGGCTCGTGCGATACTGGATATTTTCTTCATCTCGCGACGGCGGGAGAAAAGGTGTCATCAGTTCCCGTCGACGGAGACAAGTCTGGATCATTCCCACTTGTGTCGGAATCTGATCGCTGAAGTCTAGGTAACCCGCTAATAATAATATTGATAAATAATAATGGTGATAATAATAATAATAATAATAATAATAATAATAATAATAATAATAATAATAATAATAATAATAATAATAATAATAATAATAATAATAGTAATAGTAATAGTAATAGTAATAGTAATAATAATATATCGTACGGAAGGAAGAACTTTAGAAACTATATTATTAATGCACTATATGGAAAATAGAAAACTTCAAAAATGTTTTTTCTTAATGTTGGATATTTTCTCTCCAATACTAATGGCATGAAAAAGGTTAAGGTTTTTAAAACCTTACAATCACTCTTTTTGTGAACAAAGAGTTGTCAAACATGTCTCTGAAAATATAATTGAAATATTTATTTTCCAAGATCTATATATGTGGGCCTTAGTTGACAATTGAAAGATATCTTGTTATCTACCTTAAATTAAAAATATAATGCATCACTATAATGACTATCACTAAATATTTTTGTACTTGTAGATAGTTTTACTAGTACTTTATGTACTTTTATAAAGAATATACAAACAATATATATCTAGTGAAACTAGGCATCACTTGCATACCGTGTAGGCCGTAATCTCTAATTTCGATTATTACGTGTATTGCAGCGTAACGCATGTTGCAAATTTCCATGTGTTGCAGATGGCCTACACCTTTGCTGATTTCTTCAGAGCATTATCTACAATATTTTTATTTATTAATTATTCTTACTTTAAGTTGTATGGTTGTTGCACTGTTTAACTAAATACAGAAAACCCATTTTGATCCGTTTAAAAATCGGGACTCTAGCCGCTAACTAATCCAGAACTGATATCTGCGTCTAAATAAGTCGACTCCGGTTGTAGTCAACTTGGATATAGTGAACCCCTCGGTTATAATGAACTTGTGTCACTGGTCCCATTTTACTTACATTACAAATAAGCATAAGGAGACTCGTTTACAGCAAACGTGAACCCCGGCTATAGTAAACGTAGGAAATAATTCGTGAAAATTACTAATTGCATCTCGTATATTATTAGGCGAGTACAAGGGCCTTCGGAGAGTGGGACGGTGTTCCAACAGTGCAAGGGGCGTTAAAGGGTGTCAAGACTGCATTACGATACTTCGAGACAGTCGACAGTGCAGGATCAAGTATGGAGAAAGCACGAAGTCTCGAGAAGGATGTAGATTCTAGATAAATTACTAATGAAAAATATACGAAGAAAACAATTGAAAATAATTGATTTTTTAAGGACAAATAAAAATATTGAAATGTTCATTTCGTGATGTTAGTGATTTTTTCTGTATCTTTATATAACTAATATAAATAATAGTGGAGAAATTATATTTAATTTTTCACAATTGCTTTCGCCATACTTGATCCTGCATTGTTCACTGTCTCGAAGTTCTAAATTGAACCTACAGATTTATTTTTTGAAACATTTTACTGTTGGTATAATTTAGGAAAATCAAATACTTTGATGCTTCTTTCTCTATCTGCACGGTTCAAACATTGAAACCATTTGCAATCGTCTTCGTCTTGAATTGTTTGTTTATAATTTACATACAATAGAGATGCAATCTTGCCTTCCATCCATTTACTTCGTAAAATATTTTGCACTAGTGTTAAAAGTGAAATGATGGTCAGGTATCAATATAAAACTGTGAATGATACAAAGAAAAACAAAATAATTTCATCTGTCTGCATTAGCTACTATTAGGGTTTCCAGATGTAATCAAAAGAAAAACCCGACAACGTTTTATTTTTTATTACCTCATAAAAATTACTGAAAATGAAAGAAAGTTTACAGTCCACACACACACACATATATATATATATATATATATATATATATATATATATATATATATTAGTGTTTTGGCGAGACGATTTCTTTCGTCAGTTCATATATTTCTCATTGTGCTAAAGATTCGTTACCAAAGCATTAGATACAGGAAGACTACAGACAAACATACGTCGCGCCCAGAACCATGTTCTGGGCTGCCCGGGCGACACCATGTGAAAGTACACCGCGGGCAGCCCACACCTGAGGGTCACATTTTAAAACTACATAAGTCTGCTTTGAGAAATTTGACAGGAGTGCATAAATAAATCACCTTGGAAGACACTTTATTTCTTTTTATGCTTTCTTTCTATTGTTTGTGACTTTATTTGTAGGCATTAACTTGCGATATTTCAATGTATGATAAGCAATTGTGTAATGTCTCTGAAGTAGTCTTATTTAAATATGATTCTTCACATAAACGAGACTAAAGATGTTTCAAACTCTGACCGATTTTGTTTAGTTCGCAGGACGTGTTCCACCCGGCTTTTGTCACTCGTATCAGAAATAACTATTGCAGTTAAGTTCCTAAAGGGTTTCGCGCGTAGGAAACAATAGATGCGCGACATGTGCGCGCATCTCTCGTTCGCTCGCTCAAAATTTACGTAACTTAACTATTTTGCTTTCTTACGCTTATCTAGTAAAACACCCAGAAATTCTTACACTCAATTAACGAAACGGGAAATTAGCACTTTATATATTGCAGTTGTTGTTTTATGACTTGTGTAAAACGATAGAAAATTTGACAACGTACTTTAAGTATTGAAATATATTAATTTAAAATGATCGTGCATGGGAAAAACACAATCTGTCTCAACATTTTTAAGTCAACTTTCAACACTGACGCCAGGGCTATTTGCTGTGATACACAACAGAATTGTCAAGCGCATATAACCTTTTCCGGCTAGATAAATCTGCGAAAACCACCCAAACGGAATAATACATAATAGCAATTAATTATTTAATGTTTACTATCTGTTGTATTTATGTCTATACACTATGATATTGCACTACGTATGTCCACACGCACCACAGCGCTGGCATTGCCCTGTTCCGGACATCCGGTGTGAGGCCGGCGCCTTCGTTTGCTGTCCTTCGCGCGGCTGCCCCCTGGGAGGATGCGTTGGCAGCGACTGCGCCAAGGCGTGTTCGGAAAGGAAGTTTTTGTTTTCGCGGTAACGACGGCAACCCGGCGCATTGCGTCTCTGCTGACGTACAGCCTGAGGTAGAACTTATATTTACTTCAGCAGGGAGTGAAATGGAGTTTTCAGAGTTGTTATAAAATCGTCACCGCTAAGAAACGAAGCGTCCCCTATCCGTATGGTGCATGCGATGCTACTCTGCATGTGCCGGTGTACTAATACACCTGAATATCACGTGCGATTTACGTTCAGAAATATTGTTGTACATGAGAATACAGAAGAGCAATGAAATTATTGCTCGCCATTTCGCAACGAACTGAATAAAACATTTTCTTCTCTTTCCACGAATTTTTAACCCGAAGGCCGACATTTCGTCTCTGAAAGAAATTTTATCATCAAGAGAGCTACTTCACACGACAATCCACCATACAACCAACAATTTCCGTGTAGTTTGAGGGGAGAATAACCCGGTAGGTGAATTGGGTAAAGAATAATATAACCAATACAAAGATGAAAGGAACCTAAAATGGCCATCTGGGTATTAAGGATTTTGGGAGGAAAAATGTCTGATATTAACACTTCAGGTAAGATGAACGCTCCTAGATTGAAGCAAAAAATAAGTGCACGGAAAATCATTATCATAACTACTCCAGTTGTGTTGAAAATACCATCAGATAATAAAGAATCCCCCTTACGATTTCACTCGCGGAGGAAACAAGGCCAGAGACGAGAAGCAATATCTTACGTCCCAAACGATCACAAAGTGTAAGTCCAAATAGATTACCCATAACTGTTATAAAACCTTCAAGAACTGGCTTGGAATT